TTCAAGGCCACTACAAAGTTACTATACAATATCGCGAGATTTGAATTCTTTTTAAGGGAAACGTGTTGCTCATCAGGTGATTCACAGGCCAAGCACCAGCAATAATGCACATGCAATAACCAAGAATGTATAGGAAAATGAAAATAACACACAATCGTCGGTCCATAAACAAAACAATTGACAAACTTGAAACAATCTACAATACCAAAACAAAACAACTTAAAGTAAACACACTAAATACTAGTCTAGTAGTCAAATCGGAATGAGAAGAATGAATGGAATACTTGAAGTGGTGACAAGTGTATTTAAAATATGTGAGTAATTCATAATCAATTGGGGTCTGTATGAAACCTGATCAGATAAGTGACATTGATGCCATCCTAGAACATCTTTGTACCGATCTTATTGTATTTAACCACAGGCTTATTATACCTGGCAAACATTTTGTGAATAGACTCAATGGATTTACCGAACTTGCGTCTTTAGGTGCGATATCACGAACATCCAGTTGTCTCTAAATACAATGTCATCCGTTGAAGTAATCCAGAAAATTTCCCTCTTGTAGTCCGATGAACTACCAAGAGCACAGCTGACCCATCAAATACACTGCATTCTATACTTTGTGATGTATTTCTGGCCAAGATTGTGTTTTCTGGTGTGCCTTGGCTTCACCTATTTTCATGTATTTGTGAACGTTGGGGCGGGAAACGACGTTAATTCACGAGCAAGCTCAACATAACGAATTTTTCTTGAGTGATATATTTTCAAAATACTTCACGTGGAAACATTGATATAAAGAAATGACTGACACATCGCATGTTCACAGATGCGGGATAGGTAACATGGCACAGAAGCAAGAGAGGATAAGCAACAGGAAGCCATCTATTAGAAGCCATTATAATAATTTATTCACAGAAGAAGCGTAATTGACATCAGCTAGAACAAGAAACATCCTCACCATATAATGTAGCTTAAGCATATATGTTCTTTCAGGTTGCATTTTATGTTTGTAGATTACGTTTTGTGGCAAGATTAAGTTTTTTCGCTGGTGAAAAAAATTGGCAAACAAAGTACGTCGAAACAGAACCATGTATTTAAACATGATAACAATAGAATCAGTACTCCATTGTTGACTGTGTGATGAAATTACCAAGCCTCTATTGCAAATACTGAAATACCCGATGAAATGATGCTGGCATTTTTGTTAAGGCTGATTGTTTATATGACTGTTGTACGTGTCAAAGCCTCTGGGAGGTGTGTGTTGTGTGCCTGGCGGCCGGACTACAAGAATATCTCGAGAGTCAACCATACTGAATATATCGTCGCTAGTCTACGCCTACGCGAATCAGTGAGAAGTATATAAGTTATACAGTGGTTCATCAATTTATCTTACATGTATTATAATTGTACAGATTATTCAAAAACTGATAATTAGTATACAATGCTGACTATTATTATATATTTATGCTAATAGTTATGATTTTAACATTCATTAGCTGATTGCACCATATGCGCAATTTAAGTATATTAATGTTCCAAATATATATGCAATCGTCGCCGCCATCTTGAATTCATAAATTACTAAACCATACAGGAAGTGAACATTCCAATAATAACAAAATATTCCAGTATCTGAAAAATTATATTTTATTTTTTGAACTAAACAGGTCTTGTTGACTAAATCTATACGGTAGTTTAATACTATGGCGGCCACCTGAATTTATGCAAATAAAGTGTACTGGTATTAATGCAATTATGGAAAGTTAAAATGATCACATGATTAGTTTAAGAGACATTTGAGGAACAAAAATCCATCAAAATATGATGTATTTTGTAGAATCTAGGACCAGCTCAAAAATCCTATTTGGCTGCCTGACAATGTGGAATTATTCACTAGAATGGGTACATCACAATTCACCTTAATATTCTGTAATCTATCTTTATGTATATTTTAAGGCGTTGGAATTGTTGTGATTAAATGGTTGTACAATTATCTCATCTAATAATCTGTTTTATTAGCCAATAATAATGTCGTTTCAATACCTGAAAGCTAAAAAGATTTTTATAGTACGCTATACGCCGGCCAAGCGTTAGCGTCACAACGGGCAATTTCTTATAGAGGCGACTCATGGTTTTGCTGGTCGTAATTTTAAACTGTAAAGCAGGTTTGATCGTGTTTATTGAGTGCTCAGTGACAATACATGGTGGAAGTTAGAAAATGATTTGTTGATAATAATGTTGACCTTACATAAATTAAAGCAGTTAGTGTAATATAAATTGGTAATGCTACGGTACATCGGGAATTTTTTTTTCGGGCTATGTCCTCACAACACCCCGTTTGTCCCGTATTTAGTCTCCATTGTGGAACACTTTTGTTTACTTTGCCTGAAATTACGTAATGCATACGTGTTTACCTAGCCTACTTTATTACCAATGTTAGTGTCTATGTGAATAATCGCTCGATTGTTAGTTTAGACAACTCCTCGACAGTTAGTACGTTTGCTTGGCGTGTTAATATGCGGAATATACCATTTCAGATCTATGTATTGATGCCTGTGAGGACGCTGTTAACGGTGATTGCGATGACGGTGGTGACAACGCTACATCATCTTTTTGTGAATATGGCACTGACTGTACTGACTGTGGTGCTCGTGAATATGGTCCCGATCGTAAGTATGTGTCACGTGATTCAATTAGTCGGCGGGGTAATATCAGAACTTTATTTTCGCGATGTGTTCAATGTACATTAAACCAGATTCCGTGAAATATTATAGTAGCTTTCCCGATATATAACCATTTTTCGCAATATCAAATCAGAATCCGCGATATATTCAACCAGATTCCATATTACATTATACCAAACTTCGCAAAACAGATACTATGATATATTAAACCTTATTGCATGATATTTACCAAACTTCGCAAAACTTACTAGTATATCCAAATTCCGCGATAAACAAGTACGCGATTTATATATTACAGATTCTGTAATATAACACGACTCCATCATATATTAAACCGAGATTTCGCGCCATATCAAAGTTCGTTGTCTCTGTATTACGTTCCATGAGGAACTGTTTTTAACCCGTAAATGCAAACCCAAAGTCATATCTCACAATCTTCTTGTTCTCTCATAGTATCGTGTTGGAATACGTGCCAGTACGCCAACGATGGGTCATGTGACGACACTGGGCCGGGCTCTGATTTCAGTGAGTGTGTGTACGGGACGGATTGTTTAGACTGTGGTCCGCGTCATGATTCCGGTCAACGTGAGTATTCTTTCGTTTTAAAAATTGGTAGTCTTCGCGTCGCGTCCAGTTCGATATGGGACTCATAGCGACGTACACAAAGCGTGTAAAATACGGAAGCAGTCAACGAAGCTGTTCGTGTGAAAAGCTGTTCGAGTAAGGTTTTGTGAGCGGGCGGGGAAATACTTTATAGAGGAGTGGGCGGGGAGATTTTTCGGATTTGGGAGGGCAATTTCACTTCTATGCAAATAGTACAGTGGGTAAAATAAATTTTGGTGAGAGGGCGGGGAATATTTTTCTCGGTTGGAGGGGTGTGTTTTTTTCATGTAGTTTACAATAAGCCACTAAACAAGTCCCAACAAATCACTTTCGCAAATGTATTTTTTTTCAACGTTCGGTAACCCGCATAGCTAGAAATCCCTCAGCGAGTATGGCTCCCTTTCTCTTTACCCACCGTAACCAGTAGCGGATGCAGAGGGGGAGAAAGGGGCTATGTCCACCAGAACGCATGACGATTCATATCATCA